GCGCAATCCCATCCTCTACCTGACCAAGAAGATGGGCAGTGCAGAAGTTCAACTCCAGAAGCTCACGCCCTACCAGCGCGCACTGTTTGAGCGGGCTAAGGCCAAAGAGGTCGGTTCCTTCATCAAGAACAACGCCTTGAGGAAATGTCTCAATGATGCTGAAATCCGGCAAGCCTTTGGAAGCAACCGCATCATCAAAGCCCGTTGGGTCCTGACCTGGAAAGCAACACCCCCTGATGAGTTGGCTGACGCTCGACAATCCGCCGTCAACGACAAGAACACTGTGCTGGATCTCGACGGCAGTCGTAAGGCGAAAGCCAGAATTGTTCTCTTGGGCTTCCAACATCCTTCACTGTTGGACAGGTCATTCAAGACATCGGCTCCTGTGATGTCTACGATCGGGCGCAACATCATGTACCTGCTGGCTACACACCACCAATGGCCCATCCATGGATTGGACTTGGCCACCGCCTTCCTGCAAACAGCTCCCACAGAAGCTGATCAAGAGATTTGGACTAGCGGTGTCAAAGAGTTGCGAGACGCCCTACACCTCTCCGACAACAGCGTGATGCGAGTACTTCGCAACATCTATGGCTCCACAACGGCTCCACGTGGCTTATGGCTCAGCTTGCATCGCAAACTGCTTGAACTGGAAGCGACACCTATTATGGGTGAGCGATGCCTATGGGCCTGGTTCCCCAAGGAGCACAAGGACAAACATGGCCGACCGTGTCTTTTGGGTGCTATGGGCGGCCACGTTGACGATTTCCACGTTGTTGGCAACCCACACAGTCCAGAGTGGGCAACGATCTATGCCAAGATCCTTGGTGCCTACAAATGGGGCACCGCCAAAAAGGACAACTTGAAGACTCAGGTTCAGCCCGATGGCAACTTCAAGATTGTCATTGACCAAGAGGCCTACATCGAGACCGTGGCTGACCTTGACATCCCAGCAACTCGCCTTCGTGAAGACGGCCCTTTGTCAAAGGCCGAGGTTGGTGCCTGCAGAACGGCAATTGGGGCATGTCAATGGTTGGCCATCCAAACCCAGCCTCAGCTATGTGCACGATGCAACTTGTTGTTGACTGAAGTCATCACCAACGGCACCACCGCCACTGCAAAGGAGATTCAGTTGATGATTCAGGAAGTTCGGTCTGAGGCCACGAACCTGCAGTTCTTTCGCCTGCCCGGCACTCGATGTTGGAACGACATCATCTTCATCTCCATGGGTGACCAGAGCCACCTGAACAAACCACAAGGAGACTCCACCGGCGGTCTTCTCACCCTGGCCGCCGGGCCAGCATCTCTGGCTGGAAAGGTGACACCCATGTGTCTCCTGGCATGGAGGACCTGGAAGCTGAAGCGCAAGGCAGTGGGCAGCAATGATGCTGAGGTCTAGAGCATCCTGGAGGCGGAAGATCAGAACTTCCGAGTTCGCATGCTTTGGAGCGAACTTCATGGATGCGGACTTCTTTGCCCTGAGCGCCGCGCAGACTTGGTCACCATGGCGGAGGAGCAGGCGCAGCTGGTGCGCGGGGTCGTCTGCACGGATAGCCGTGGAGGCTACGATGCAGTGGAGCTGAATGAGAGCCCTCTCCTAGGGCTATCCAATATAAGGGCGGCATTGCAAGCATTCCAATTGCGGGACAACCTCAAGAGGGTTGGATGTGAGCTGCGCTGGCTCGCATCGGGCTACGACCTTGCCGATGCCCTCACGAAGAAACGTGGAGAGGCCAGGATTGGTCTCATGAAGTTTCTTCGAACCTGGCTCTGGTCGATCGCCTATGACCCCAACTTTGTGGCCGCAAAGAAGAACAAAAGAGAGGGTCGAAATGCGATCCAAAAGGTGGATGATGCACTTGGCCACGATTCCCATCCACTTCAGGCCCATGGAGCCATGGATAGCTACGTGGAGCAGACCTTGATCCTCCAGGCACAGCACTTGGCAGCAGCTGACACTCTCCAGGCCCTTGCAATCGATGCCAGTGGCTACTTGTCCGGCAATGCTGCTGCCGAGGCCGAACCGGCCATGAGAGAGGGACTGAACCTGAACGTTTTTGTGCTGGTGCAACACACTCACCACGGCATGTCAGGTTCAGTGATTTGAGTTGATTTGATTTTCCCTGGTGCCCCTTTGTTTCTCGAGAAGGGGCCCCTTTGTTGAGCTCTCGCCACGACCTGGCTATGGAGTGACCGAGGAGGTCATTGGAAAAGGTGCGCACTGAGCGCATAGGTTGCTTTTGATTTGGTCGAGCCCATCTCGCTATCCTGCCCCGCTCCGCTACACGATCTCAACAAGTTTGGACACATGCAGACTCTTCATGACTCTTCAGTTTCACAGCTCTTTGAGCGAAGCTAATGCACCAAATTGTCATCCGGGAGTCAAGTCTGTCTTCAGCTTTTCGCTTTGAGGTCTTGGTCAAATATCTAGAATCTAGAAGTCGTGTGGTGGTTCGCACCACACAACACGGTTTCAGTAATAGGTCTTGACAGCTTGTTTCCACCGCCAGGTAGCTGTCCGAGCTATCTGAATCACTGTCAGAAGCAGACTCTGTTAAGGAAGCCATCACGCTGCCGGGAAGGAGCCGTGATATTAGAGGAGCGGATGAGAGCGAGCAATCCCAGTGGCAACAGGTGGACCATCAGGATTGCACCTGTAATTTCTGAAAATCAACGTCAACAATGGTATACAGCTACATCAAGTCACTCAGTTAGCTGACAGGAGCAAGTGAAGACATGAGTCATGAGCATCCCCTTGCATATCCCCCGAGAATTTCCCATGAACAAAGGGTGGTTTGGAATCTTTGCGAACACAATGAAGGGGCTGCCTCTGGAAAATATCTCCGCACAGTCAGTTGCGTCCGAGGGAACACACACACACATATATATATATATATGTATGTTTATGTATTATCTATAATACATAAAACTATACCTACATGTTCACAATCGTCATCCCCCGAAAGTACCAGGAAAAACATGTTTGGGTTCTTGATGTGCGACTCATTTGTGACGCATTCCGACAACCCTCCATGTGGTCAATTCTTCGATGGAAAGCATGCCTCTTGTTAAAAAATCTCACCATGACGCTAACTCTCGGGCCAAAAGATTCGAAGCATCGGGAAGTATGGTATCGTGTGGTGAGGCAGGATGGCATAGCTGCCAATTCAATGGCTGCCACCAAACCCCAGCCCCGGCGGTGCGCACAAAGAACGGACGGGAAACAACACCACGTTGAACAGCGGTCAAACCGAGCAAGACCCCTGCTCCACTTCCAAAGAATATCAACAAATTGTTGGGGGAGGTAGCCTTCACTGACCCCTGAACCATGGTTCCTTGCCCATCATGACCGGGCTGGGCATTCAGCAGGGAAATCTACAAAATATGGATTAATATAGTTGCTTTCCATCTGTTTCCTGTGCGTTGTTGCAGCAGCAGCAGCAGCAGGAGTAGCAGCAATAGGTAGGTAAGGCAAGGTAAGGTTAGGTTAGGTAGGTAGGTAGGTAGGGAGTGAGTCGGTGAGTCGTGAGCGAGTGAATGAGTCAGTCAGTCAGTCAGTCAGTGGTGGTGGTGGTGGTAAGTAGTAGACATATACTGTCGGACCCAAACATCTGGAGGATGAAGTTGATGCAAGCATTATAGCACTTACTGCTCTCATCTGAGAACTGAAATTCATATGTTTGGCCCAACCAGTTCGGTTTATATACTGTGGCCTACGCAGAATCGTGCTTCATTCCTTGATGACCAAAAAGCACCATTTCCTGGCGCTAAGCAATGGATGGAACTCTCCGAACTCGGCGGCGGATTCCAGCGGCCTCGCTCGCAGAGCGGCCGCTGGGCGCTTTCTCTTCGTCGGGTTTTTCCCGGTCCGTGCAGCATTTCATGGCACTCATGGCACCATTCGTGAGAGGGCCAACACCCATCGCGGCGCTGGGTGAAGTCCGAAAGACTCAGCAAAATCCTGGCGGTGACAAGTCATTTTCACGGCAAAGGAGGTTGGCAGCCATTTTCGCCACTAGTTGAGATTGTACAGCTCTCATCCGCCTCCCTGGAGCATGTAATAGTTCCACTTTTGAACTGAAGTTCCCAGGGTCTGGTGCAAAAGTCAGTCAACTGGACGCATGGTCGATAGTCTCGTCAAGAGCTTGCTCTACAAAGATTGAGCAGTTCAGCATCTGTTGAAAATCACATGTCCATCTAAACTCGTCACTGTATTGGTGCCCTTCGCCTTCGCTCTAAACCTCACTGTCACCGCGGCACCCGGCCTGCTTGCTCTCCACGGGGAAAGTTGACAAAACAAGAGTGAAAGTTGGTGCAGTGCTCTGAACAACGGTGCCTATGCCATGACATGATTCAAACACTTGCTGTTGTCTTGTTGCTTCATGGATGCGGGAAGGTGTAGTGAAGGCCCAACGTGAATGCCTGTGAAATGTGGCTTTGCACACTAAGCCACAAGGAGCCGACGCAAAACTAGAATAAAACAACGACAACAGTGTCTGTTCACTTGGCCTGGGATATGTGCACACAATCCATGCTCATTTAAGGGAATTGTAGGTCCCGAGGGCTTGTAAATGGATATTTATGGATATGATATACAAGTGTATTACAAAGGTATGGATAGATAATGGCAGCCAAACAAATGCAATGAATCTGCGGGGTGCTGATGGTTCTTCATTGTCTCCGCAAAGCTGCTTGGTATGAAGGTCAGTTCTCATGCCTGCTTTGATGTTTGTGTCACCCAGTGTGCTAAGGGGCCTACCTGGAGGCAACTTTTAAAAGTACAAAACATTGAACGCTCCTTTCTACTGGAGTTTAACCTCCTGCAAGCCTCTTTCCGAATCCTCTCCCAACAAAGAAGACTTGGGTCGCCTACGGGACAATTGCTCCCAGTACCCAAACACCCACCCATCCTTTGGACTCTTTTAGTGGGAGGTCTGTTTACGACCAACTCCTCCACCACCCACACGTCGCTCATCACGCTGATCCAACTAGAGCGGCACCTTGAGAGGTCAAGGCCAGAACGTGGCTTCCAGCCTGAGGTCCAAGCCCAGCTCTGGCGTGCTGGATCGGAAACCAAGGATGGGTATCCGATGGTAAGGCTACGCTTGTCCATCAGTTGATCGATGAACATGATCGTTTTGTCCAATCAAATCAAATCCTAGAAGTGGTATGTCAAAACCAAAACAAGGTTTATTCTGGCATGCCATGTGCATTTCTGGTCAAGTGTCTTCACCTTTTGGTCAACCACAATCAAATCCCTCTCATCCGAGCCAAATGGTCCCCGTCAAACTGAGTTCTTCATGGCCCGGAAAACACAACACTATACCCTATGACCGTGTCTATGTATGTAAGTATGCAAGTAGGTAGGTATGTAAGTAATGTCATGTAATGTAATGTACTGTACATACTGTACTGTAATGCAATGTAATGTAATGTAATGTGATGGTATGTATATATGTAGGTAGGTAGGTGCTTGCCGAATCAAACTCCAGCATCTCAATGCTCTGAAGCCCCATGGCATTGCTCGGTTGGCCCTCCTCAGTCCCCAAACTTCAAACCGTTTGTCTTGGGAAGCCCTGTGCTCTGTAAACACGTGCAAGACCCATGGAGAAGCTTCACTGGGGAGTGGGAAACCCGTGGGCACATCTACGGTGTTCATATGTGTTGCGAAGCGTTCACATCAACTGCGCACCACTTCTCAGCTAGAAGTCGAATCTTCGGTGTGCCTGCCAGCAGCAACTCATACCCTCGGGTGCACTTAGAAACATTCATACGTCTGTGTAAAGACCAAGTCCACTTGCAGCACTTGTCATGGGGTTATGCGGTCTCTCTGCTTGTCAGTTGTTGTTCCACTACGTAAGCGGCCTCCAAGCAGTTTTTGCAGTGGTCCCAAATGCCCCTGGGTTTGGGCAACATTTCATTTGTCTCCTGCACCGTTGCCTTCTATCATCAGAAGATGGACGAACTCCTTCGGTAGTATCCCTGTCGCGTGACCTGCGATCGGCCCTTCTTGCCCAAGCACAACCTGCTGACCAGCATCTTGGTACCTCCAACTCATGGCGTTTATCTCCTCGCTGGGTGCATTCACATGGTCACTTGCCATTCACATGGTCAAATGGTTTCAAGGTTGTTGGATTTGTTGCCATCCACGAGATGCACTTGCCAGGCTGCTTCGGATTGGGGGAATCCATCAACGGCGATCTTGGCCACAAGACTCCCTGGAGATCGGAGATGTTTGCATGTCTGTAGCGTTTTGGCATTGGGTGGAGACACCCGAACAAAATCAACGCCTTTAGCAGGCAAAGTCTGCCATGTGTGCTCACCTGCCAACAAGCTTTGCGGCTTTCAAGGGGCTGCTAGCGGCAAAGCAGTTGGCAAAGCGCCGGGCAAACCATGTGATGTCTACAACGCATCAGCACGGGACCTGATCTGCTGCATGCGGCCCAGCCACTATAGAAGATTATAGAAGTATTTTGAAGCTCCTTTCCTTAGGCCCCACTCCATTCCTATCATTCCTTGGGTGGCTAGACAGCCTAGACAGCTCGGAGAGGACGCTAAGGCAAGGAGGCATCCAACTACTCTCAGCTCATCCGTCAAATCAATTGTGACTGCGGGTGATCTGACTCAGGTGATCGGTGATCGGTGATTCCTTCTGCCCACGAAGCACCTTTCGAAACATGGTGTTCAGGGACAACATACTGAACCTACACCAGTAGGATCCAGTAGGAGTGCGAGTGGTGATTCTTCTTAGTCTCAAGCCCGTTTGTTGAGCGAAACCAGTTTCATCACCCAGGCTGCTCCCTCCCTTCATGTCAGTCCCCTTGCACTACCACTGTGTGGAATTGATGGGAATTTAGAAGGCATCCAGAACACCTTTCCAGCGCTTGGGGTGGTATTTTCAAAGTATCAGCATCCGTCTATCGAACGACAACAAGAAACGTTCCACCGTTCCAGCGACCTCGGTAACCTTCAGACGTCACCGAGACCGCTGGGAGCCTCCAGCTGGGACTCCTGACCCCGGCGCCAAGGTCCAAGACACGTCCAGCTTGACGTTTGCAAAGGTCCAAGGCATGGCGCTCCTGGATCACTCGAGTGACTCCCCGGTGGGAATGGACCGGAGAGCCGTAGAGAGCAAGGAACTAAAATGGCCGGAGGGACCCTTGGTGCCAAAGAACTGAACGACTGGATGGAACAGGTCTTGGTTGAGTGATGAAAACATTGAAGGTATAAAAGGACAAGTCACACTCCAATAGTTCAAAGAAAGCTGAGCCTTTCCCCCGCAACACTTCGTGTGCCTCATGTTCCTGTGAACAATTAGTCACTGATATCATAATCTCATGATATTTCATGTCATGCACCTCCGCAAAGTCTGCGCAGTCAAGTTCGACGCTGCACGTCCGATCACAAACTCCGTCGATCCGAGTCACCTAGTTAAGCCCCTCGGGCGATCCGCTCCATTCACCGTCCCAGAACTTCCAATCACTAATTTTACTCCATCTGACGCAAGATGTACAAGTAATTAGCAATAATCCACCATTGTCAGAGTCATAGGGGTAAAATGATGCAAAATGAGTCATTTGGACTCTCGGCGTGTTCAGAGGAGTTTCGGACAACTCTGACAACATCTCGCCGTCCCTGCCCCCCGATTCCGCTCCAGTGCTGGCATTTCCGGTGGCCGGCGGAAGAAAAGGCCCTGACACGCACCGCGCATTTGCCAGGCAAAAACATCCCAAATAACGACCTCCCTCTCCCATAGGGAATGATCTGAACAAAAGAATCCAGTGGCTACAACGCAAACCCCTGGCATGGGAAGGTGTTTCCCAAGGGTGCAAGGGCTAACTGGTTACTCCCAACCAGCTACTACCGACACGTCCAGTGGGAATTGTGGTGACCAGGGAGCAGCACCCCCCTGATCACCAAGAAAACGGGTCCGACGGATCCCACAAGCACTGAAGATGTCCCAAGCGGCCACTGGCAGCTCCTCCGGTGTGGGCCGCAAGCTCCTCGACTGTTTCGAGCCGCGGAAGGGAAGCAGAACGAGCGCGTGATTTGCCCAGGACCCTAGCTCTTGCCATCAAACAATACTTGCCATCACATAACGTAGTTGCAGGAATTCTGGAATGCGACCCCAAACATTTCAGGAAGTGTTTGACATGTATCAAAATGTGAAATCCTGCGAGACGGGTTGGACAATTCCACAATGCCTTTGAAAACGACCTCTCACAAAAAAATGAAATCAAGGGCAGTATAGTAGGGAGGTTAGATGTAGATGCCAATGGAGTGGTGCTGAAAGCTCAACATCCCACAGTTGTTAACAAGTCGAGGTCAGGGAGGGACCACTAGACTCAAACAATGAATACGTTGGTGACAAATCTACTTTTATTTTCTTTTCCTTAATAACAATCTATCTATCTATCTATCTCTCTATATATATATATGTGTGTGTAACCACCCGGGCCTTGGCGAGGCCACGTTTCAATGTTTTTTTCAATATCAAACTGTTTGAAAGCTCCGTTCAAGTCGCTCACAGGCCGTGAGTTCCAGGGGTCACCAGTTTCGGCTCGTCTGATCCTCTTGTTCTCCGAGGCGCGACCAATATCTTAGCGGCTCGGTGGTTGCTGTGTCCCCCGCCTGCGGCGCTGCATACATGGAGCAAAGCAAGATGACAGGAACTAATATCATGTCTAATGTGGCATCCTAATTGGTATAATGTTGCTAGGCGGGGGGTGATACCAATTAAGATCAAACATTAGTGTCATCACTCCGCTCTTTTCTCCGGATGTGTGTTGTCCACCAGGTGCTCAACGTCCCTCTTCAGAATCACCATGGTTGGACGACACGGAGCTTCTGGCCGGCAGGGACTTTATTGGAGGTCACAGCCACTTCTTTGGATGTTTTCTTCTCCTTGATCTCCGCATCGAGCTCAGTGGCTGCTTTCAGCATTCTCCGGAGGATTCTGAAAGGAATGTTCTCCATCTCGACCTCCACCCTGTTGTTCATGTCAAACCGCTCGTATCGGCCTTTGCTCAAATCATCCGCTTCCTCATTCTGCTCCCGGGGAATCCAGGCCAAGTCCAAATCAAGACCAAACTCCTCCAGCAGCTTGGCCAGCTCCATGAGTATCAGGGAGAGAGGGAACTTGGTAGTGAGGAAGCGGTCCAGGAGGAAGGCATTGGACAGGTTGTCAGTGAACCCAGTGATGCTCACTCGTCCCGCTCCGTTCCGCCATCTGCTCGAAGGGCCGAATACCAGAATAGCAACAGTGACCCCCAGCAGCTCGGCACTGGCGATGGTGCGGAAGGGTTCACCCTTCACGAACAGGAAGGGAGCGTTGCGACGGTTGAGAACCACATGGAACCAGCGGGCTTCCTTCGGGTTCACCGTCTCGTAGGTCTCCCAGCCGCCTACGGCCACCTCATCTTTATCTGCCATGGCATCGACCCGAAACACCTCGCCCAACACGGCCGGGTCCCCGGATAGCTCCCTCATAGGATTCTCACCCACCATCTCCAAGAAGAACGCCATGGCCAGCCTGGTCGCCAATTGGAGCTCAAAGTAGCTGCCGCCTTTCACCTTGGCGGATGCGGCGTACAAAGGAGCCAGAAAGGGTCTTGCATACCTGGCCGCCCCTGCCAGGAATCCCATCCTCCCCAGACCCGCTCGAAAATCTCGGCCCAGCATCCTGCCCTGCTCCTTGGCCCAAGTGCACCATCTCCTGAGCCACTCCACCTTTCGTTCTCCCACTCCCAACTTCCAGTGCTTGACGTCCACGGTGTAGCCAATCCACTCGGTTTGAACACCTCCTCGAGTCTTCCCCCAGGACATAGGGATCTCCATGATCTCCACGTAGAAGAAGAGAGCCAGAATGAGCTTGTGGTAATCCAAGCCCCCAGCGAAGATCAACCCGTCATCCGCGAAAAGGAGGAGGTAGAAGATAGAGCTCGGGGGGGATCAGCCTGTGGAACGTCCTGAAAACCGTTCCAGCCACTCTCCCCCACCAAAAGGCCGCCGATGCCACCCCAAAGGTTCCACGAGTGTTCACGTACACGGACTCCTCCTCCTCCAGCCTGCATGCTTGCAAGCCCCAATCCATAGGGTGTATGGGCACCAGGCGATGCGCTGCCTTGATATCAAAGGCCATCAACATGCGCGGGCCCTCCGTCTGCTTTCGAAATGACTTCATCACCGCCTCCACATCATCGTACTGGGGGAAGGCCATCTTATTCGGCTGGACCACCTCCGTGTTCACCCTGATGCCATGGGTACCATCGTGCGCCACCCTGACATCTTCCCACTCCGCGTCCTTGGGGACCGCCCCCAAGGATGCTATCTGAAGGTCGTCCCCATACCTCTCCTTGGCCTCCGCCAGATCCATCTTCTGCATCCAGCCCTTCTCCACGTCCTTCTCCACATGCGCCTTGACCTTCTCCATGTGCTCGCGGGCCGAGAGGTAGTTCTCTCTCACGTCCGGTCCGGAAGCATCCTCAGTCCAAGCCCCCGGAATATGGTCCTCCTGGCCTTTCCTCTCCTTCTTCTCGTAGTATCTCGCCGCGCGTGCCCAGCGCCACCCCCGTCGAGGCCATATCGCCCAAGTACCTCGTGTCAGCGTCCTCGACCAACTCCGCCCAAGCCTTCAGCCGCCGGAACGCGATCTCTGTGGCCCTGTCCTTCCCCCTCCTGCCAGGATCCAAACCCAGTTGCCGAACCACTCCATCCAGCCTGGCCCGCATCTCCTCGATCTTGCTCCCAAAGGGTGACTTCGAGTGCCTTCCCAATGCCAACTCTGCCATCAAGGCGAGGCGATCCTTCTTATCCATGCCCTCCACGAAGTCAGTCACCTCCTTCCAGAACGCCTGCCTCAAGGCCTCCCCTCCTTCCGACAAGGCGCCTCCTCTGTGACCCGCCGGTCTCACCCCCAGCGAGCAAAGTCCAAGGCCATCCACAGCCCTGCGAGCCTTGCCTTTATACCAAACTTGAAGTGGGGCCCAAACAGCACTGCTTCCAGGAGGGGCAGGTAGCTTGCTGTGGACACCCTCCTCCTGCCTGCGCCTCTTGGAATCCCCTCCAACTTCACCTCCTTCACGTTTCCGTTCTTCCTGAGAGGGACCTTGTAGCCGGTCTTCGTGATGATCGTGCCCATGATCGTGTCCCTGATCGTGCCCATGTCCAAGTCCCCCCGGTGGGTTCTTTGAGCCTCCCCGTTCATGTCCCGGTGGTGGCTTGGGTTTCGGTTTTGGTTTTGGGTGCCCGTCTGAGCCCTTTGTCCCCCGCTTCAGAAGGGCTCGAAGTAGGTGATCTGCCAGCCAAGCATCCATTGCGGATGGGTAGGCGGCCGCCGCCGCCGTTGCAAACTCGCCCTGCGGGGTCTTCCGAATGAGGGTGGCGTGCACCTGGCCACAGTTGCAACGCCCAGGGAGAGGTCCTTGGTAGCGCGAACCCGCCGAGAAAACCGGCAAACCCTCAAACGTATCAGCGATGAGACTGGCGATATCTGTGAGCACCCGGGTCGGCTTCGGCGACGACGCCCCGAACCCACATTGATAGAAGGCCCCCGTGAGTGCTCGTCCTTGTTCAAACCAGGACCGGATAGGCAGCAATTGCCAAATTGAGGCTGGCTTGATGTTCTCTCCCCATCGCGAGGTGCTGCCCAGGTCCTCTGGATGCTCCATGATGAAAGGGATGCCCAGTTCCAGTGCTATGGTGATGACCTGGAGGCACAGTTCAACCATCGAATTGCTTGCATTGACTTTATCCAGCTTGGCTCCTTCGAGCCAAGGAAACCCCAACGGGTGTAGAGAAGACCGTAGCGGCCGTGGCCCGTGGTCATTTGCCCATGGTGCCCTCGACCAAGTCCCACACGGCGGCGACATAATGGTTGCATTGTAGCCGCCTTCACGCAAGGTTGCCAGAATTCTCTGGCGCAGTGCATCTTGCAAAAGATCATGTTGTGGATCTCTAAGGATGTCGAATTCATCTGCCACGATAGTCACTTGCCTCTTGGAGGCGAGCTTCTGTAAGTGCCTTACCAGGCCTGTGTCACGTTCGCGACCAGCGAAGAGGTAGAGCACTTGGTACTGCTTCTCTGACTCCTTTTGCCGCGGGGCTTCAGCCCCTAGTCACTCCTTCGCGTCCGGGTGTTCGAACATGGGATGTCCAGGATCGAGGCAAACCCGGCACACGTGCACCCGTCCGCACCCGCCTTGACACCCTTCCTGCTTGTTGTTGTAGGCGAAGCAGATTTGCCTCCCGTCGGGTGTGGATCCGTGTAGACCTGCACCCTTCGTCTTGCCCTTTCCCCGATCTCCCTTCTTGCTCTTGCCCTTTCCTTTTGTAGGCCTCCCTTTCGAGTAGGGAGAGTCTGCATGATGCGGACGGTCTGGCGCTCGACCACGTGCTCCCCACACATCCTTCAAACTCTGCGCAGCCGAGCTCACTGCCAAGGGGGTGCTGAAGTACCTCTCTCGGATATCCGGGTTCTTGACGACCTCCTTGAGGGCCGTTACGAATTGGGTGCCCCTGTTCACCTCCTCCATAGCCTCCTTGCGCATTTGGAACTCGTAGTTGATGATCAGCTTCAACGATGGCCTGTGCAATGGGATGCCGTCCACGTTCTGCGCCTCCAGCTGGGATACATGCTTCGAGCAGATGTAGTTCAGGTACTCGATGGCCACGAACGGGGAGATGTCGTCCAAGACCCCCCGGTGAGGATACCGAAACCGAGCGAAGATGAAATGGTTGATCATCAGCATGACCTTCGTCCTGAACTCCTCCATGTTGTTTGGGTTGTTAGTCTCAACCCTCGCCTTCTTAATCTTGACCTGCCCAGACTTCGCCATCATCAGGCTGCCCGTCTCCGCCTCGTCATCCTCGTTGCGGGAGCCAAAATGCCGAAGCGACATAGCCCTGAACTCTCCCTGGTCCAGTTGCTCGCACAGGTCTTCGAAGCTGGGCTTTCCGGGACGCTCCCCATCCTTGAGCTTGTAGTACCTCTTCTCAAACTCTT